CTGGGAAGTACCTATGAACTACTTCCTGCCTGTAGGGCGGGCCAGTCTTATATAGTGCTGGCCCGTCCAGGAGGCTGCTCTTGCCAATGCCCAAATGTGATAGACCCTGAGGAAGCTTCCGGGAAGTTTCCAGGTAGCTTCTGGCTAAAGCCTGAGGAAGCTTCCTAGGCCCTGGTTTTCAGGCTGTCAGGCTGAAACAGACATGGGGCCTGTAGGCCCTGGTTTTCAGGCTGTCAGGGTGAAACAGACACGGGGCCTGTAGGTGCTGGTTTTCAGGCTGTCAGGGTGAAACAGACACGGGGCCTGTAGGCCCTGGTTTTCAGGCTGTCAGGCTGAAACAGACACGGGGCCTGTCAGCCCTGGTTTTCAGGCTTTCAGCCTGAATTTCAGGCTTTCAGCCTGAGGGACGCAGGGCCTGGAAAATGGCCCTCGTGTGCAGGTGCAGCATGGAACAAAGATCTGCCCGCGCTTGCTTCGTACTTGCTCTCTCACACATCTCTTTCGCTTCATGATGGTTTTATGCTAACTTAAACACATATCACTTTGTCCACATGTTGCCTTTCTCTGTTTCCACCTGCATCCTTCTGTCTGTTCTTGTCTTCTACCAATATTATAGTGGCTGATTATCAAATTCCCTCCCGGCACTTCGCCTGTTTGGTTTCTCTTGCTGCCACTGTGCCGGGACCATAGCCGTGTCAGGTCCATCTGCATCCGTAGGGTTGGGGGAAACCCTTTTTTAAAGCAGATTTCAAAGAAACGACGAAGCTGAAGGAGCAAAGGGAGTCAAAGAAAGAGAGGCTTACCCATCAATTTCCACCATTCCAGCAGAAGTCACGTTGAGGCAGGTACGACCCACCTCTGTGAAACCTGACACGATTGCTGTTGGCTGATTCTTGTTTGAATTTTGTTCGTTTGCGTCTGGTGCCTCCACATCCACAGTTGTCGAATCGAATAGCAGAGCGTTGGAAGAGAGTGGATGCAAATAGACTGGCAAGCTGCCCTCCTTAAGGGCCAGATCATCAAACTCCATGATTGTTGCTCTTGCTCCTAGCTTGATGACGAGAAGGGCTTGGTTTGACTTGTCCACAGTACATACTGCCCCTGCACCCAGGCTGTGGGCAGTGGAATCCTCAAACAACTCATAGCAAGGTCTTACAATAGCTGGAGTTGGGGCATTCAACGTTACCATGATCGAGTCAGCGCTGCCAGTAAACTGCACCACAAGTCAGAAGAGCACATGAGGGAAAATGAGATGGTTATCGGTTCGAGAAGGTGCAAGGATGTAAAATTGAGAAAAGCAATTCGCCATTCACGCACACACACAGAGAGAGAGAGAGAGACAGACAGACAGACAGACAGACACAGAGAGAGAGAGAGAGAGAGAGAGAGAGAGAGAGAGAGAGAGAGAGAGAGAGAGA